AGCCTGTGGAGTACTATATTGACCAATCTATTTATTAATCTATGGACCTAATATACAACATACATATACAGAACAAATAATTAATATGTCAAGGAGTACTGTAAAATTTTTCGATTCCAAATCAGGAATCAGTGTTTCCGTAATTTACTGCTGCTACTAATTAGCTGACCACAAGTGTTTAATGTATGGATGAGTGATGCCCCCATATGTATAGAAAAACCACTTATTTACTGAATAATAAAAATAAAACGGTAAACAAATAAAAGGAATGGAATCTCTGTCAGCAAATGTATTCGCAAACTAATCATGAATTTCATCAAAACAAAGCATAATATTTTAAGAATAAATGGGTCAAAAATAGAATACATGTTCCATAAAATATCTAGATTCATTTGAGAATTAAAACAATAACAACAAATCAAAAATATTTCATTACATAGATAAAGAACTTACCAAATTTATTAAAATTTCTAGTAACTGTTAAAATATTCTTTTATATTTAATTAATATTTTTATAATAAAACCAAACTTGCTTTTCAAATTATCAAACATTTTTTTATAATATCATTAATAAAAACGGGTTTGTAAATAACGAAACATTTCTAATTAAATATGTATTTAACTGAACAATTTTTTTGTTGCACTTCATTTTTAAAACATTTAATAAAACAATTAATAATGTCATTTATATACAAATGACCATTAAAATATTGATTTGTTTTAAATTTTTTTTTAAATTATTTTGTTGGTATCTGTAAACTTTTTTGATAGGTTCGCTCGTAATTGACCGTATGAGATGGGTTTTGAAAACCACAATTCAACCAACGGGTTTGAATTTCAAAGATGCACTGCGGTTAGTACTTGATGAGTTTGATATTTGCACGTTTTCAGAAAGGCAAGGGGAAAGAAGGGGGGGGAGGAAAGAAAAAAAGGGGGAAAACAGGCGAGAGGCGGAACAAGAGAAACGGAACAAGAGGAAACGAACGAACGAACGAACGAACGAACGAACGAACGAACGAAACGAACGAACGAACGAACGAACGAACGAACGAACAACGAACGACGAACGAAGAACGACACGAAAGAACGACGAACGAACGAAACCGAACGAACGAACGAACGAAAAACGAACGAACGAACGCGAACGAACGAACGAACAACGAACGAACGAACGACGAACTAACGAAAACGAACGAAACGAACGACGAACGAAACGAACGAACGAACGAGAACGAACGAACGAACGAACAAACGAACGAACGAACGAACGAACGAACGAACGAAACGAACGAAACAACGAACGAACGAACGAACGAAACGAACTAACGAACGAACGACGAACGAACGAACGAAAACGAACGAACGAAACGAACGAAACGAATAACGAACGAAACGAACGAACGAAAACGAACGAACGAAACGAACGAACGAACGAACGAACGAACAACGAACGAACGAACGAACGAACGAACGAACGAAGACGAACGAACGCAAACGAACGAACGAACGAACGAACGAACGAACGAACGAACGAACGAACGAACGAACGAACGAACGAACGAAAAACGAACGAACGAAACGAACGAACGAACGAACGAAACGAACGAACGAACGAACGAAGAAACGAACGAACGAACGAACGACGAAACGAACGAAACGAAGAACGAACGAAGAAAACGAAACGAACGAAACGAACGAACGAAACGAACGAACGAACGAAAACGAAAACGAACGAAACGAACGAACGAACGAACGAAGAACGAAACGAACGAACAACGAACGAAACGAACGAACGAACGAAACGAACGAACGAACGAACGAAACGAACGAACGAACGAAACGAACGAACGAACGAACGAACGAACGAAAGAACGAACGAAAGAACGAACGAACGACAACGAACGAACAACGAACGAAACGAACGAACGACAACGAACGAACGAACGAACCGAACGAAACGAAAACGAACGAACGAACGAACGAACGAAGAACGAACGAACGAACGAACGAACGAACGAACGAACGAAACGAACGAAAGAACGAACGAACGAAGAACGAACGAACGAACGAACGAAACAACGAACGAACGAACGAACGAACGAAGAACGACGAACGAACGAACGAACGAACTAACGAACGAACGAAACGAACGAACGAACGAACGAACTAACGAACGAAAACGAACGAACGAACGAAACGAACGAACAAGAAACGAACGAAACGAACGAACGAACGAACGAACGAACGAAAAACGAACGAACAACACGAACGAAGAACGAACGAACGAACGAACGAACGAAGAACGAACGGACCGAACGAACGAACAACGAACGAACGAAGAACGAACGAACGAACGAACGAACGAACGAACGAACGAACGAACGAACGAACGAAGAACGAACGAACGAACGAACGAACGAACGAACGAAGAACGAACGAACGAAAGAACGAACGAACGAACGAACGAACGAACGAACGAACGAACGAACGAACGAAACGAACGAACGAACGAACGAACGAACGACGAACGAACGAACGACGAACGAACGAACGAAACGAAACGAAGAACAACGAACGAACGAACGAACGAACGAACGAACGAACGAACGAAACGAAAAAAAACGAACGAAACGAAGAACGAACGAAACGAACGAACGAACGAACGAACGAACGAAACGAACGAACGAACGAACGAACGAACGAACGAACGAACGAACGAACGAACGAACGAACGAACAACGAACGAACGAAACGAACGAACGAACGAACGAACGAACGAACGAACGAACGAACGAACGAACGAACGAACGAACGAACGAACGACGAACGAACGAACGAAACGAAAACGAACGAACTAACGAACAACGAACGAACGAACGAACGAACGAACGAACGAACGAACGAACGAACTAACGAACTAAACGAACGAACGAAAACGAACGAAACGAACGAACAAGAAACTAACGAACGAAGAACTAACTAACTAACTAACGAACTAACTAACGAAACGAACTAACGAAACTAACTAACAAAAAATAACTAACTAACTAACTAACTAACTAACACAAAACTAACTAACTAACTAACTAACGAACTAACTAACTAACTAACTAACTAACTAAACTAACTAACTAACTAACTAACTTACTAACTAACTTACTAACTAACTGTTAGTTTGTACAATTTGAAAATTCCATTTGCCATTCCTGTTCCAAACTATAGACTCTACGGCATTGTATATAATCTCATCTGTAACATGGACTATAATAGTCTTCTTTACAGTCTCAGCTTTGGAGTTATTTATACTCTAATCTACAGATCTATCCATAATCTTAATAAAAAACTTATATATAGTCTGGACAACATTGTTTCCTGCAATTCGGTCTACAGCCTGAACTTGACTCTAGAATTAGGAACAATTTCCAACCTATTGCCTAGTCAGACAATAAATTCTTCCATTATGCTATTAATCTAACATGAATAAAATAAACTTCAATTTATTTGGTCTTTTCTTAATACAATACAGTATTTTCAATATATTTTCTTTTTTTATTCGGAACTTGATTCAATGTGAGCACAGTGTACAATTACTAAAAAACAATTAATAAAATTGTCATCATCACCAAAAACTCAACTTTGGATTTTACAAAAATACATAATAAGAAATCATATAAGTAAATAATTAAACTAAAAAATCATAAAAAATAAGCAAATACACAATTGCTACTAAGAAGAAAATGAAGCAGTTAGTGGAGGGGCAGTAGCACCGACAACTCACAATTCAGTGTGAGCATATTCAGTCTCTTTTTCTTTCGGTACAATGAAGAGACCTTCGGCAGTAGTCCATCTTGTACCATGTGAAGGATTACTCATGCCGACTACCTCCATTTGTCCGGAAATAGGACGACCAAAGGAACGGCCAGACATGGACAGATAAGCTCCGGTATCAATGTGACGTAGACGTACATGAGCATCACGTACCCATTCGTTGTTGCTGCAAATCAATTCCCAGTGATCACCAGAATCACCAACACCATTATCACCATAAGCGGAAACTTCTTGTTCGCCCGATAGTGGAGAGGAGAAGAAATGCGAGTGTAGATTTCTTTTTGTGCTTAAATGTTCCAAACGTATAGTGTCACCACACTTAATGGGTTCGCCTCTATCACAAAATTTATTAGTGGCAGCTTTAATCACCCAATGACTGTTGACATCTTCCTTCAATTCAATACCGGTGACCGACTGTTGTCCTGAGCCAGAACCATATTTAACATCATGTGAATGCAAACGCATGCCATAATCAGAGTTGAGAAGTTTTATTATGGAACCACAAGTAACGAAATTTGTTTTAGCTCCTGCAAATTGAATAATAGTTTTAATGGCTTTTACTAGGTATAATTTGCTACGCTATTGCTATCACAACAGTATTTATATTTCATTTAAAAGGGGGCGGTTGAATGACCAATCACAGCCGGCCACATTTGTTTGCTTTATTACTTACCAATAGCCTCTGGTATTTCGCATAAAACTGCAAATATTGTCAATGAAACTAAGTAACTTTTATGGTATTTCATTTTTTAACGTCGTTTTTAAAGATTAAAATGATTATTTTATTAATTTTATTTAAAGTTTATTGTTTATGCAAAATGTTATTGAAAAAACCACCTAAAATATCAACGTCTAAGAAAATAATATTAAAAAGAGAGAGAGAGACACGCAAACAATTGTCAAAAAATGTTGTCAATGTTGACAGCGGAGATAATAACAAAAAAATAGTGTACAGTGTTGTAAAGTGAGAGAAATATATTTTTTAAGTGTAGCCAGATGATACAAATTAATTTTAATTAAATGAGCTGCACACATTAACTGAAGCATTAGAATAACTAATATTAGTCTGTATTAATTTTTTTAAATAGATTAATCTCCGGAAATTATGAACATCTTTCGTCTGCCCTAGAGACTTGAAATAAACACAATATCTGGCAACATACTCAGTAATTAGCACCTCAATATTAACCCTTTACAACACTGTCACAGCTAACATTTTACAACACTCTCAACAGCTGATTACCTTAAATAAAGAAATTAAAAATTTTCGCAAAATTTTCTTTATATTTCATCGCCCACTTTTATTAACACTGTGAAAATTCAATTATTACAAAAATTAATGGAGTACAAGAGATTATTTATATTCACATTACTATTGGCAACATGTTTTTTAATTGGCGTGACATGGGTAAGTTTTATTTTCTTCAGGCGACTTTATTCAAAATTTGTTTAATAAAAATACCATTTCAGGCTGACAATGCCACACAAATAAATGGAACGGAGATAAAGGTACAGAAGCCAGCTTTGGTTAGTAGTACTGCTGGACCACCCATAACTAAGGTATTAACTAAATCCGAACTACCAGCAGCCAATACAACGACAGCACCCAAATGGTAAGTTGTTTATGTTTCTTTGTTATTATTGTTGTTATACCCTACACCTCTATAGTAGAGTAAGTATTATGTGTTTGTATTTATGTTTCTAATACGCAACTAAATTCTGTACAGATTTACTTTTTGAGATCTTTGTAATTAAACTGAAATTTTAAGAAAATCTCAATGTGATACATGTTTGGCCCAAAAACTAAAATGTATAACTTTATTATCGTAGCTTTCATAAATCGAAACATTAGAACAATACTGAATACTATAGTGTAGAGTTTTGTATGGCCGACCAAGTTTGACCATTATATTTTACCAAACTTTTCAGAAGTGTTAATTTTATTAGTTGATAGTAGTTTTAGTAATGTTTGTTTTATTTATTAATCTATTTACTAAATTTTTGACAATTTAATTTGTGTGTTATTTTAATTCTAGCGTCTGTGATGGGGCTTTATTACCACGTTTGGGTGAAAACGGTAAGGCTTTAGAAATCTGCCCAGAGTGTAAATGTAAACATGAAGCCCGCAATACTACCTTAATTAAGGTAAGTGCTTTACAATCCGTTGGCTAAAAAAGATTTGAAAATTTTTTCGTAAGAGTAAACGCCCACCAAGAAAGGTTGGATAGATAGATAGATAGATAGATAGATAGATAGATAGATAGATAGATAGATAGATAGATAGATAGATAGATAGATAGATAGATAGATAGATAGATAGATAGATAGATAGATAGATAGATAGATAGATAGATAGATAAGATAGATAGATAGATAGATAGATAGATAGATAGATAGATAGATAGATAGATAGATAGATAGATAGATAGATAGATAGATAGATAGGTAGATAGATAGATAGATAGATAGATAGATAGGTAGATATATAAAAGTAGATAGATAGATAAAAGTAGATAGATAGATAAAGTAGATAGATAGATAGATAGATAGATAGATAGATAGATAGATAGATAGATATGTAGGTAATAAAAAAACAAAAATAAATAAAACCTATTTTATTGAAAATCTGGAGCCGAATTACCGCATAAAATTGATCTGGAAATTTATTTTCTATACGAAAGCTTATTTAATCACCAATACGGTAATTCGGTATTTAACATTAAACCTAAACCTTAAAAAATTACTTATATTCTATTTTTATTTGCAGGTCGTTGTAATAATTGTTATTTGGATTATATCCATACTAGTGATATACATGCTCTTCCTTATGTGTCTGGATCCGCTGTTAAACAAACGTGTCAAGGCCAACTATCAGGAGCACACCAATGAAGATGTACATATGAAACGTTATGCTAGCGTTAAATATAGTCTTTTAGTAGAAGATAATAAAGATTCAGACTGATTTTTTTCGTTTTTTTGTTAATTTTGTTACAAAATTTCTTTATTTTTATTACTTTTTTATATAATTGTTGAATTTTGCACATTTTTCATTTCTTATGTATGCTTATTAGAACAAACATTTGCTGTTGCATTTAAAATTTCATTTTTCATTGATTAAACCACTGGTGTCATCAATTGTTTTTGTTTCTTTAAATTTAGTTTAGTAGTTTTCTTTTAATGCTTGTATTACTTTTAGTGTTGTTTTGTTAAAATAATAAGCGCTTACTAAATATGTATTTTTTATTTTCTAATTTTCTCTTTCTCTTATTTAGGATGATACCACTACTGCTTCTCCTTCTATGCCTTCTACAGCAAATCAAGAACTTAATGCCCGAGCCAATGTTCTTAATCGGGTGGGTCATCAACAGGACAAATGGAAGAGACAAGTGCGTGAACAACGTCGTCACATCTACGATAGACGTACCATGCTTAATTAAAAAAATGACATTATTTGGCAGGCAATTTGCTTAAAAACAGGGTGGCGGTTTAGACACAACAACCACGCCTTAAAAAAACATTTTATTGTTTATAATTATTATTATATTATGTATTAGAAACCCATAATAGTTTCATTGATTGCTATATTTAACAAAGATTTTTTTCTTATTTTCTTTGCTTTTTTTCCATGCTTTTTTAAATTGTAAATTTGTTTATGTCATTTAATCAATTAATTATTTTGTCATTGTTTACACTTTGGGCCTCATCTTGGTTTAGGATCTCGTATCATTTGAATGAACGTAATTAGTATTGATTTTATATGTTTCCTCTTTATTCTTTCTATTATATTTTGGCACTTTTGTATTTGTCTATACATATTCTCAAACATACCAATATTTGAAACATACTTTATTAATTTAATTAATTAGGATTAAAATCATAACTTATCAAGTAGAGAACAAAATTTAATAAACGAAATATAATTATATTTAATCAAAATTATTCTAAAAATATAGATATTTTGAATGAAATTTGAAAAGGATTTGTTGTTGAGAAACAACTTGCCTAATGTTGCCGATTTTTTTACACAGGTTAGGATGAAGCAAGAGCAGGTCACGAAACTTACTAGTGTTCTCATACCTATTGCATCCAAGTCGAGAAAGCGCAGCTTTGCGCTCTATTCTTCTATTTCTATTATTAATTATTTATATTGAATCAATCAATTTTATTGATAGCAGATCCGGGGTTTTACCCTCAATCTCTCAAGTCTCACTCAGATCAAATGCCAGAGAGAGTTTTTCTCTATCGCGATGTGAAACTAAACCATTTCGAAAATCGATGCACTTATATATGTATGTTTTTGACATACCAACTCCAATACATTTTGAAACGAGTTCCCAAATACCGGCCTTATTATCTTTTCTATACTTTAGACCCGTATAAGGATATTCTTTTCCTTATACTTTCAAAGGTTTTGTTTAACTAAAATGTAGTATGACATTGAAAAATATTTTAGCAAAGACTTATCATTGTAGAGGCCATTTGTCTAGAATAATGCATCCTCCAAATTCTTGGTTTTTTTTTAACTAAAATGTAGTATGACATTGAAAAATATTTTAGCAAAGACTTATCATTGTAGAGGCCATGTGTCTAGAATAATGCATCCTCCAAATTCTTGGTTTTTCCTTTATCCTTTCATAATCCACTATAATCACCCCTCTTCTGCACTTTGAATTGAAATTTCCTCCGTTTGACAAATTTATTATTCTCCATTGCGTTTCCGTTCAATGTTTTACAATTATGCGTATTATTACACTCGTAGGTTTTTGAGAATAGTGATGAACTAAAAGCTGTATTTACAAAAAGTTGTTTACCGAAATATATCATAGCTAAACATTAACTTCCAGGGATACACATTACAATTTTAAAATCTAATAAAACATCCACATTTTGTAAATTTTTTAAATTATATTTAAAAAATCACTCTCCATTTAAGTGTTTTTTTACAAAAATCTTACGTTTTCCAAATTACAAATTAAATTTTATTAAAAAAAGAAAATTAATAACCCTTAACCATAGTAGCCAATTGCCAATTTTCATTAACATTGAAGGACCCTGGACAACACTGCCTTCTTTGGTTGCAAACAGCCACAGTGTATTTGGGCATGGAGCGACAATCACGATAGTACAAAACTTCCATACATTTGCGCAACTGTTAGAGAGTTTTAACAAAAAATATAGTAAATTTATAAACAAATAAATTTAAAACAATTTACCACTTCCGAAGCTTGTTGTTGTGTCAACTTTTGACCCTCGACAAGTTGTTCACGCACCAAGGGTAAAGCTAAATGCTTGCCAAAACCAGTGGCCACAACATCATCTTCATAGGCACGACCACGTAAATCGACATGACCCAAAAAGGGTACACCTTCATGGTCTACACCACCCACCACCATTTCCAACCACAAGGGATTGAACCGACTGCGGCGATTGTAGAACACACGAGTCAACCAGTTGTATAAAGATTTGGGTTTCATATCGATTTCATCTTCATGACACATGTCTTCTACCATTTTTTGATCAATACTACGTTTAAGAGACTGGAAATCAGCATAATCACCACCAGCACCCATAATAGTTTTCTCATTAATTTTAAACACACGTTGAACATCTTGGTAGCGGGCCAAGGAACCGTATGAAACCAAATTATCGGCGGCAATCATAACACCACCATCAAACTTAATGCCCACCACAGAGGTACCCGTGGTAATGGGAGATCTTTTAAAGAAAAATTAATTTTAGTTAATTTTAATAAAATTTGAGTTTTCTTTTCACACTTACGAACTGTGCTGTGTTCCAAAGAGACCGGGTGTTGTAAACTCTTTACTTTGTGCCTTATTCATAAGGCCATTATAGCCTCCTGTGAAATTATAGAATTGACCGGGTGCTGGTCCATTGGTCCAGAATTGCTGTTGAAACATTTGGTTACCGTTATACATAGTTATTTCTTTTGTTTTATTGTTAATTATTTCCTAAATAAAACTCGCAAAATTTAGTGAAAAATTGCAAGTTGTTCAATGCTTGAAGTGTTGTATTTTTCGAATGACAAACAAAATTTTTGTTACCCAGCGTTGTCTAAAAGAGGAAGAGATTTTCAATATCTGTTAGAGACCGGCGCCGACAAATATTAACGACGGCGGCGGCTGATACTAAAATATTATTTCAGTTATGTTTTTAAATTTTTAATCGATATTAATAAAGGGTGGACTTTGTACAACTTAATATAAAACAAGTTAGAGTAATAATATTCGACTAAACCGAATTTTAAATACCTTTCACTTATAAGCAGTTTTTTATGAACAAGCCGAATATTTATAGAAATTTTAAAAATGTCGCAGAATGATTTGTATATATTCGACTATAATTTTATGCCGATATATGGGGCTTTGCCATAATATGGGCCGATTTGGAAATAAAATTCACAGAATGGATTGTATAGGTACAATATATTAGACTATAATTTTATTACGATATCATTATTAATTCATAAATAATTTACTATGGATTGGACTTTATATGGAACTTATTTCGAATTATGGGCCAACCCGGAGAAAGAGTCATATGTGCAAAATTTGGTTTTAATGGTGATATTCTAAAGGGAGTTTTTAACAATAAATCAATTTTCCGGAAGTATGTAAATTTATACGAAATTTTGAATCGATTTTAATAATTTTTTACCATACTAACCCTGGACGAGTGACAATATTTTTGACCGAAATTTGTTTATGAAATACGTAGTCAAGAATTAGAAAAAATTATATTTTCATAGCTTGTTTTGAAACTCTGCTCGTATCTCCGTTTTTTATGTACCGATACTACTTTTTAAATAAGGAACTTCACGAAAGTATGTCTGTTAGGGTTATTGAAGATTCGGATCTCTCAGATATCTGGGGTCTTTTGAAAGTTGATTTCAACATATACACACTACACCCGGGGTGATGGATACAATTGCTGTTGATGAATTTCCCCCATCTTTGTGTGATTACAATCCGGAGAAGAAGAGGTGCTGCCAGTAACTCTAGTCTGCCGGGACTATAAACTGATGGCGTCCAATGTATCTTCGGTCTTTCCTTGGAATAATTTAACCTGCACAGTCATATATTCAGGTGGTTTAAACCCAAACTCGCTTTCTCAATGAAAGTGTCAAATAAATGGCAAGTATGCTGGGTTGAATGGTGATGGATGTAAGGTATCTTATATAAGTGACACCATTAAAATTTTCTTTCTTGTCAGCGTATGTTCAGGATGTACTCTCTTCATATCAGTCTTACCACAGTGTGTCCTTTGTGAGTCTTTGTCGTTATCTGATGGATTCATATATCTATCTACCAATTATGTCTGTAGGTGCTGTTGCCGAATCAACAGAGGCTATTCCATTTGCGTTATTGTAAACGAAAGTGATGTTTTTGCATCTCAGAAGTTACTCAACGGGGCAGCTAGGGTCAGAGATTAGATAGCTCGAGTACTTGAGCAAAGTGCTTGTACATAGACCGTCAGAGCTATGTACAAAAATTGGCACCTGCGTGTTCTTTGCAAGACACAAGGAGGTGCTAAAGGACCTCTGCGAAATAAGACCGTTCTATTATGTTGTACCCTACGAATGAAAGGAAATATCTAAACAAAATCAATCAACTATGGAACGATAAAAAATTATAACTAATTTTTATTCGGTTGAAAAACATATTTACTATTTATTCATATTAAAAAAACACTTTATTTTTATGAGTATAAACATTTATTTATATTTAATAATTGTGTATATCAAATTAATAAAACTGCAAATTTTGAAAACATACATACAAATATATATAATTTATTTAACTAATTAAAACTATTGGCAATTGGATACATAACGAAAAAATAATTAATACTTTCAATTATAAAGGGAATGTTTAATTAACAATTAAAGATTCAATTGGAAATAATATACAAATATAACAGTATTAATTAAAGTTAAACCCATTTTTTAAAATACAAGTATTCAAAATAAAGAAACCCCAATATCCTCTTTAATAATTACCCTTATAACATAAATTAATTTAATTAAATAAAAAGTTTGCAATATTTTTTTACAAAAATATCTAATTGCTCTAGTATATAAAAAAACCGCGGCTTAAAACCGTTATTTAAATTGAAAGCTACATACATATCACACACACAAATATCTTATTTTTAAAATAATTAACGCCACTACTAATTGCAAATTTTTAACTTATGAATTACAGCAGCAACAAAACACCGATTTGTTGGCTGTATTTTTAGTAGGATTTGTATACAGATAGGGACCGCGCATAAAAACATCCAAAAGTTGGCGATGAGATCTGAAATTTGCAAAAAAAATATAAATTAAATGCCAATCAGTTTCTTATTAGCCTACAACTTACGTCATGGTTATTTCCAAATCACTAACAACTTCTCCATCACAATTCCAAGAGAGTATAGTTTATCTGTTGAAGCCGTTTCTTGCTCGGCATAGTTTCGTTTATAGGTGGCAAGATCCACGTACACGTTGTCCATCCTGTGGCCATGAATTTGTTTTGGGGTGGTGGGGGAAACATAAATGGGCGAGGACGAGAAACGGCAACGAAGGGGAAAGGGCGCGAGAAAAAAAGAAAAGGAAGGTAAGGGGAAAGAGGAAGGAGACAAGGAGCGAGCGAGCGAGGAGGAGCGAGAGC